GGGAGGAACTTATCAAGACAGCTCCTCAGATCGTGGCAGATTATGAGAAGAAGCTAAAGGGGAAGGCACCAGCATGAAGCATCTCAGCGGACTTTCGAAGCTAAGGAGGATGGAATGTGAGGAACGAGCCCTCAAGGAGCCCTGTCAGACATCACATGTTCTGGGCTAAGGCCCCAGCAAGCCGAGTGCCCGCCCTAAGTGAGGGCGGGCCTGAATATTCGTCAAAGGCCAAATTTCGACATTTCCATAGGTGGGTATTCAGGCTCTCACAGCACGCCAGTTGGTTGGGCAGACGCGTGAGCTGTACTAAGCTGCGTCGTACAGTTGCCCAGGCCTTGACAGTTGCGCCTGGGCACATACACGCAAAGCAGGGCCGATACATTGGGAAGCAGGCCATCAGCCTTTGGAAAAGGCAGAACTGCTGACGCACCTACCTGGGGGCCCTCCACAGATGCAGCAAACAGCCCAAGTCCGGAGACTCAGGCCGTGCCCAACTGAAAAGGGCCTAGGCCCTCAACTGTAGTCTCAGGCCTGGGCGCAGGGTCTGAGGCCCAACCGGAAGCTACTGGAAGCTTCCAGCCAGGCCACACGCACCATCCAGGAGGCTGCCACTAACACAAAAGGAGTAGGGCAGTCCAGGCCAGGTATTCTGGCCAGTGCAGGCAATGTGGAAGTGCTGCTGCGCTATCGCTCGACGCTGTGCTGCTGCCAAGGGCGCTGACGGGGCGCGTAGTGGTGAAGTGGGGCGCTGCAGGGCAGCGGGGTGCAGGCAGCCATAGCCGGGCTGCTGGGCACCAGGGGGTACAGCGGGTGATCTGCTGGTCTTCAGGGAAGGAGGCGCAAGGTCTGATTGAGGGTGACAAGATACGTACCTGGTGCATGAAGAGAGGTCGGCTATGGTTGACAGTCATGTACATTGGTCTTCGAGTGTCGAAGTGGGCCTGTTGCGTGAACACAGCTGTAGGTAGAATAGTCGGGTAAAGTAGGCTGGGCGCTGGGCGCCAGAAAGAGGAGCGACTTTGGATTCTGTGTTGGTGTGGCCTACGGCTTGGACATTGACTCATTACTACATTGCACTGCTCTATATGGATGGTTTTCTCAGTGCATTTGTACTCTCTACGTAGACACGACTACGTGGACATCTGTGTGATTTCGCAACTTGGATTTCTGTATATCGTTCACACTCATATTCCTTGCATTTGCATGGGCAGCGCATATTTCCATGTTGTAGCGGCGCATTCATTCGATTTTGGTCATCCAACAGACAAGTAGCATCAGGCTTCAGGCCACCCGCGAGGTTGGAGACCTCCCTCTCTCTCTCTCTCTCTCTCTCTCTCTCTCACACACACACACACACACACACACACACACACACCCAGACACCCAGACACACAGACACACAGACACACACACACACACACACACACACACACACGAAAAAAAAAAGAAAAAAAAAACAAAAAACGAATGTTGCAGCGTTTATTTCCATTTTCTAGCGGTAGATTCATTCGATTTTGCTCATCCAACTGATAAGTAGCATTGGGCCAGCCGCGAGGTTGGACA